ATGGAAAATCGTTGACGTGTCCTTTTGGTCCGAAATCCATGGCGTCCTGTGCAACCTGATACTGGTCCTGATGACATCCGACTTGATTTAGTGTGCATGGTTTCTTTTCCTATTACATGTTGCACAAACAATAGAATAAATCCACAAACTTAGCAGCCTTGCCAAGGCCTGCCAAGCTTTCAGCACAAGCGATCGCTGACCTATGTGAATCAGGGAACCACCTAGCGATTTATTCAGCCAGACGGTGGGGCTCCTTTTAGCTGGCCTTTCTTAGCTGGGCATCCGGTGAGCCGGAAAAGTCAAACTCCTACTCAACCTGGGTAATTCTCCGCTGAACTTTGCAGTTCGACACCCTAAGTCATCTCGCGCTACTATGAGGCGGTAGACCGTCGCGGGAGTGGTATAACTACGTAATAAAAATATGATGCAGTGGCTATTCCCACCTAAAAGCTATGGTTTGCCTTTGCAAGCAATTCATAAGAATGCTGTAGCGTGTATTTCAGAAAACATCAAGATTTCAGAAGGAAAAAAGCTCATCATATGCAGTGCTGTGCAGATTTCTCCTGCCCACATCTTGACTGCCGCACATTGTGTCCTTGACTACAATGTGGCAAACTTTACAGATCTTTGCGAAACAGAAGATGAATTCAAAGGGTGAGCAACTTTCAATGAAATCTCTAACATTATGTGAGATAAAGCGCATGACATAAAGGTCCAAAAGATAGACAAAGAGTTAACTTGCTAGAATCTCAATAATTCGCGAGATTTGGAAAATCAGCGTCAGAAGTAACACATTGTTAGAAAGAGTGATTATCCAAAAAAACTTTAAGAAAAGATATCCATTATGCAACAGCAAAGGTTGTAGAAAATCTTCTGCAGAGGTGATCAATAACAGTGGGCGTGGTTTCAAACAATCAGTTGATTTGAGTTTGATTTTTATTTAGTAGTGTTTTAAAACTGATATTATCAGCCTCTTTTCAAAAAAACAGAAGTTGATTTGAATCCAATTT